AATTTATGTGCTATGTTAGTGCTAAAGAAACTAATAGGAAAGAGGTCTAGGGTTAGACGCTCGAATTGTGAAAAATTAAAATTATAAAAAAAAAACAGTAAAGTCTTTAATAAAATTTTTTTTTGTAAAGAAAAGTTCATTAATTACAAGTTTATTTATTATTTTCAGTTGATTTTTTTAGTTTTCATTAGCTTATGAGTTGGGATAGATATTTATGTTAGGTCGCCACCATGCAAAGTATAGTTAGACAGATTGATAGTCATACAATGTGATAGTTTCATTTAATTATATAAGTTAAATCTATCCAGATAGAGAGGAACTAGACATTAAACAGAAATCAGAGATGAAGATGGTAGTGTAGACTGAAGTGAGCCATTAATATCAAGTTGATAATCAAGTTGTATGTCTTTAGTCTATATTTAATCAGAGTTTTTTTTCTGAAAATAGTTTTTAACATTATCATGTTATTATTCACTTAAACTGCATTGAAAACTTGTTTAATAGAAGTCTATGTGTTATGTGAAGTACTTTTCATGAAATGGTTAAAGTTTTCGTGGTCATATAATAACAAATAAAAGAGTAGGATACTAAATTATTTAAAAATTTTAGACTTTATAATAGATAGAGTTTTCTTTACTAACTGGAAGCTTAAAGAAATATGCACACTTTATATACAAAATCTTTTTGTTAGAGTTTTTCGGTTTTCGGAGGTATAGACTTTCTTAACATATTTGATATAAATAATTTTGCTTACATCCCATATTATTTCACTATCATTGCGAGCGGTTAAATTTTAACAGAAATTTTAAGCTTAAACTGTAGTAAAGTACAGACAGTTCAGTGTTAAGAAATACACAGCACTGGCCAAGAATAAGTTACATATGTATATCTCCAGACATATCAAGCGAAAATTTCTTCAGAACTTCTTAGACAAAAATAAGCGACATATATTTTCAAAGATGTCAAGTGAAGGTTTCTTTATGGTAGAACTCTGTTGTTAGACAACCGAAATCTCCAAGAGGATACTGTTTTAAAACGGATTGTGGAAAGACCTTGCTTACATTTCACCTAAGTTTTGTTTCCCAGTTTTTGTTGTAGTTTTTGCAAACTCTTTTTTTAAACTTTTGTTCTATTTGAATTTTATACTGATAGTTTACACTTACACTTTTGCTCATTTTCAATAGAAACCAAACGGTGACCCTTGTTGGTTCCCATGGGCCCAGATTTGTCAATTAATTAAAATTAAAATCTTTTTTTGAGAGAACTGCAGAGAGATATAACAAGTTTCTTTTATGCTCTCCTGTTAATAGCTTCTGCAAATGTCTTTACTGGCTTTACGCATTATCCTGTAAAGACGGACGTCAGAAGATTTTTCGTAATTTTAGTTAGTCTTAAAAGGGTTCCCGTTCTTTTGTGATATATTTTCAGTCAAAGTTGTTATGGTGTGAATTAATTTCTTTAGTAATTAATGTTGAGAATTGTTTGTTTTTTCAGTATTTAATAATCTTTTAATATACTATTTTATTAATAATAGAATATTAATATTCTAAGATATTTATATTCTTCAATTAATATAATTTAAAAATATAAATATTCTTAATATTAATATTAAGAATTATCCCTATTCCTAGATATCTCTAGAAATATATGTCACTTATTCTTGTCCAATGCTGTGTATTTCTTAACCCTGAGAGTTAGGACTGTATTAATATTAATAATATTAGTATTAATATTAATATTAATTATATTAATATTAGATTTTCTTCTTCGGGACCAAAAAAAGAAAATCTAATATTAATATTATAGCAATGACAATTATTTTTTGTTGAGAGAACAACACAAAACAATGTACCAATTATTTAAGAAGAACATCTTATCTTATCAGTCAATCTGGGTCTTAAGTGCACATATATATGTCGTTTATTCTTGTTCAGTGCTGAGAGTGTTCTTTAGATATGAAAATTGATTTTTGTTGATAGAATAACACAAAATAATGCACCAATTATTTAAGAAAAAGTCTTATCTTATCACTCAAGCTAGATCTGAAGTAGACATTCAAAGCTCATTAGTTAATTTAGCTATTAAAAGATTAAATAAAGTATCGACCTATTTGCAAATTATAATAAAAATGAAAAAACCAGACACAACATATCCAACAATCATTCGAATGTGGAACAAGAGCAGCTCATAATTTCAATTATATTCAATTGCTATTATTACGGGTATCAATATTGAGAGGGGCTCAGCCTAATAGGCTTACTTGAAGTTATATGAAAATTTCAATTAAGACATACACATACGTACGTACGTACGTATATTTTAGTGGTCGATAGTAAAACCCAAAAAGTTCAAGTTGCATATTCTTTATTAGGCTTTTAGAATTTAATATCCTCAAGGGCACGGTTACTGTTGGTAGGCATAGTAAAGGACAACTGGAGCAGCAGAAGCAGAAGGTCCTAGCAAACAAACATTTGGTATTCATAGTCCCAAGTGACGGGATGAGTACGTGTGTGTGCAGGACGTTTGGGTGCAGTTATTTTATGAGCTTTTTTGCGTCGTTGAGTGGTGGTCAAAGGAAGGACACCGCAAATGTTGTGGCAAAATGATAAACAGTGAAAAACCAGAAAACTTTTCTAAGTAAATAGAATATGCAGAAAAAAAACTAAAAATTAGTTTCATTATTCGTGACTAACTTTTTTACCCTTAAATATGTTGAATGGACAAACCAAGCCAAGCCAACTCAGAAAGGAGGCAGGCGGTAGGCGACAGGCAGATAAACAATCCATTCATTGTATATCAACTCTGACTCTGATGATGACATATACAGTGACTACGATTATTTGTTTGTTTACATTTTGTTTATATGTTTTTTCTTTTAAGGAATGTATTGTTTTTATTTAGATCAATCAATAGAAGAATTTACCTTTGATTTAATTAATTCCTAGTGCAGTAGATAAATTTCGATTCAATTATTTTTTCTTCAATTTATTTAGTAAATTCACTGTTATTAATTGCTTCGCCTGTAATTTATTTTATTGTTTTTATTTACTCAATTAATTGCTCAGGCGCTTTTTCAGTGATCTTCAATTGCTTTACGATAGTTTTTTTTTCCTTTATATCGCTTTGCACACAAAACACCTGTTATATTTTTTTTATTATCATTAAAAATTGCTTAATTTATCTATTTTTTCCTTTTGTTTTTATACTTCACGCACAAAATTCCGACACAACAAATTTCCGTCTTCACACTCACAAGACTCCCATTATTTTGTACGCGACTGAGAAATAAAATTCATTATTTCCATAACATTTCATTCATGTTGAGTTGTTAAATTCACCACGAATAAAATTTGTACTCAAAGTCAGTGTTGTTAAAGTGATTTTTACATTTTAAAACAGACTTTCATTTTCACCACAGTTAACAGACGTTTTGACAATATCGTAGTACGTTTCATTAACTAATATTCAGTCCATCTATAAATTTAGATATATATCTATTTATAAGTTTTAGAGTTCACAAATTGTAAGTAAATTCAACATCTAATTATATTATGTTAATATTATTATATTATATAATATATTATATTATTATTATTACATTATATTATTATTAATATTAGAGTTCACAAATTGTAGGATAATTTAACAACACATTTATAAGGATTATTATTCACAACGAGTAACATTTTATATGAAATACTGTGTCAGAATAGCAGATAAAAAACTAGTCGAAGTTAGAGATTTACAAAAAGGAAATAAAATATGATATATACTAATACTAAAAATGCAATTTTAAACCCTTAATTAATCATCTATATTAAATGATATCTTTATTTCTAAAACGACTTTCTGTATGCTATAGTCTATAAAAATTTTACTTAAGATATTTAATTATTAAAGAGTTTTATAAATAATAATGTACTACATACTAAAATTTACAGAAAAACAACAAAGCCTGAGGTATGAAATATTCTAATACAAACTATTTTATTTTTAAACCTTTAATTAAGCACTTATATTAAATTATAGCTAGGTATGTTCCTACAACAACCTTAATATATACCAGAGTTATCAGAGATTCTTCTTGAGAGTTATCAGGATAAGAACTAATTAGTAAATATAATTTAAATATTATATAAAATATATTAAAAAACGTTAATAACAAAACCAGAACAAGAAAAAAATTCAAAATTTAATAAAGTAATTACTCAAGATATTTAAATATTGAAGAGCTTTATAAATAATGATATACTATATATTGACGAAAAGTATACGAAATTTACTGAAAAAATTTAAATGCCGACAAAATTTTTAAGTATCAATTTTCAAATACCTTATTCACCAAAGACCACGATTCCTATTTCTAAGGGCTCCCGATTCGATAACGGATTTAAAAAGAATCGTCTATTCTAATCAATTTCTTCCATTACGCTAAATGACGATTTAATAAGGTTTTCAAGATCTCGAGATCTGTGAACGTCCGATTTGGCAACGGATTTCAGTAGTCTTCTCTTTTGAGCAATTTTTTTCTCTATAGTCATGCTGATATAACTTAGCTTTCCAAATATCGATGTCTAAAGTTTGATATTTTTACAAATAGATATGCCATATGTTATTGTCATTTATTTGAATTATATTTGGATATCAGCTAAAATTTAAAGGTTTTAATAGAGATTTACCCAAGTTTTTAATTTGCGAACACCACAAACTTAGAAATAACTGAGTTAATATATATGTTAAAAACTGGTACGAAAAATCATTTATAAAACAAGTAAAAGAATATTTAAACAGAGGAACTTTTTCATCCAAAGCAATTTTAATGCTGGAAAGTGGGTCTTGCTACCTACAATTACTAACACACTTTGATAAGGACATATGCGTCATGCTTTTGTCATCAAATAGCACTGCTCGTATAATACGTGTGAACCACAATCCTATACGTGTTTTTAAAGGTGATTTTCGTAAACGTCTTTTAAAACATCTTTTGTCAAATTCAATAAATAATTTAATAGAGTTGTTAAATGACTACTCTTTAAACGACATTGCTCTATAACTATCAAGTGCTTGGTATTTTATGGATAAACGTCTATTCGGAAAATCTTTTGATAAAATTTGTAATAATGAAGTTTGGTGTTCAGATGACGATCTATCCGTGCAGTTAAGTTCTAATAACTCTTGAATGGACAAATGCTGATATTGAATTTACTGATGCTAATATTGAAGACGATGACAGCAATCACATGAATACTGAAAACCAAGTGACAAGAATTCTGCATTCCCAAGTTATATCAGCGTTTAACACATGTATTAAATATTGACAAAAGCAACATTTCATTTCTGGAGACATTTTACAACTTCTTAGTCTAAGAAAAATTGCATATAATGAACAAAATGAAACAAATCCAGCAAATAACAATTATCATTTTTTTTAAAAACTTGTATAAAAGTTTAAAATATCAAAAATGAATTTGTAAATTATTAATGATTTTCATTAAAAATCAATTTCATTCACAACTATTCATCACATTTTTTTATTTTGGTAATCCGAATTCGAGATTATACTGTAAAAATAAAAGAAAATTTTTTTAATTATAAAAGTTTCTATAAATATAATTGTTGTTATATTTCCTTTTTTATATGCAACATTTTTTATTTATAGAAAGTTTCATTCTATAGAACACCGCTTGCATTCCACTTATTGTTGTTATGTTATGTTTATCTATCTAATGTCTGTTTTATAGAAAACAATAAGATCATTAATAAAGAAATTCCCCTTAATGAGTGTGATTGATGTGTATGTTTGATAAATAAATTTTTTAATTAGTTTAAACAAATATTTAGCCTTTTGTATAAACTGAATAATATACTAAAGGTATTCAAAGATGTTCTGCAACTAATTGCATTTGGTATAATGAATAATTTTATTAAAGTTGTTTTATACTAAAAAATATAGTTTTCGATTCATTTCAAATATTTTTTTTTCCAAATCGACAAAACGATAAAAATCACAATATATGCAAATAAGTTAGTTTTATTTAGGACTGTAAGGAATTATTAAGTTTTCGGAGAATTTCTTTATATTTTCTGCACCTCGGACTTCTTTCTCAAGTAGTGGCAATTTGGTGACATTAAAATCTTCATATAAATCAGCAATTTGGTCTAAATATTTTTCTTGTATCTGAAAATAAAATCATTTTATATATATATAAAAAGGGATATGTAATGTAATATGATAAAGCACCTTATATCTGGAAGAGCACATGCTACATGGTTGTTGATTTTCCTTCATAAATAATAGTTGGTTTACTATAATATTGTGTGTGTCGATGCCACATTTCGTTAGCTCTTGCACAAGCCGTTCCGTTTCGTATAATGAAAGAAATTCCGCAATACATACGCATACGAAAGTCGTTTGGTCCTTTATTTAAGGAAGTAGATAATATGCATTTAATTATCTTTAGAATGTTTAATATACAATATTATATGCTTACCGGATTTCTGAACTGTTCATTGACTTGTTTAATAACTTTCAGCATTTCATCCAATTTATTTGATAAAGAATCTGGATTAAAATCAGTTAAGCCCAACATGCTACCAAACTGCGATATAAGTGGAGCAATTTTCATTTTTAAACGCATTAATTTTCCCAGACCTTTCTCAATGACTTGTGGAAATGATAAGAGACGTAACGTGTGACCTGTGGGAGCAGTGTCAAATATGACAACAGAAAAATTCATAGCCTTTACTAATCTGTAACACAGGATTTAGCTTTACAAGTGCCTTCAATTTAATAAACACTATACTAACTTCATAACTTCTGCATAGCTTACTGCTTCATCAATTCCAGGCAACGCACCTAAAACTTCATGAAATACCCCTTTGCTTACCCGAAAAGCTTCGTTATCACCCTCGAAGTACTCATCCGGTAATTCATTTAGACCAGCATTGGGATCAATTTCCATGGCAAATAGATTGTTGAAGCCATTCACCTACATTAATGGGATACAATTAAATAGTAAATAATAAATTAAATTTACAGAATTAAAATGCAAAGTACAGCACACGTCATTAGTATTTCTTTAACTTACCTTTGTAGGTACTTTCGTAAATTTCTGATCAAAGGCATCTGATATATTATGCGCTGGATCTGTGGATATTATGAGTACCGATTCACGTACTTTGGACATTTGAACCGCTAAACTACAGCTGCAAACAATTATTAATTATTTAGAGCGAATTTGTTTTTGTATGGGTTTTTCGTTATACCTGCAAGTCGTTTTTCCAACACCGCCTTTCCCTCCCACAAATATCCATTTCAAAGATTTCTGGTCGATAACGTTCTTAAGTGACGGTGTTAAAGGTTCAAAATCATTATTCATAATTTTAAGATATATGCTGTCGTTAATAGATTGTATATAAAAGTTTAATAGAAATGTGAAATTATATCGTGTTTCCAAGCTGACTTTTATCTGTCAGTACCTGGGTTGCATTGTTTCATATTAGCAGAACACTAATACTACTATTTTATCTGTGTACGGTGACAATGCAAAAAACCAAACCGTGTTGATCTACGTAATCAAATAGTTTTTATAAAAGATTATTGTGTACAAAAATATTTTTGTTTATAAAAAATAATTCTATAAACATAAAAATTGGGTCTTATCAAAAATTTTAATTTATGTAAATTACGTCAAAACTATGCAGTCAAAATTGGTAGTAAAAACTTTAATGGTTGTATTCACGAAATGTGCCAAGAACAGCTGATTGAATTATGATATGCATTTTTAATAATAATAACAGTAAAATAATATAAATGAATAAATAATATGTTTATTGCATACATTTTTTATCAAAGTATAATTATTTATTGTGCAAAAAATAGCATTTTCTTAGAATTTGAAAAAAATTTTGTTTTGTTTTGTTTTTTTTATTTGTTTATAATTTCTAATTATACTTAAATTACATATAACTTACACACAGTCGGAAACAAATTATGCATGTATGTATATTGGTTAATATGTTTATACTAAAAAAATCTGCCGAAATATCTTTAACAGTAGTTAAACTTATATATACATACATATGTAGATGTTCAGTGCCAAAATCGAGGATAGGTTTAAAGTTCAAAAAACAGTTTTTTTCTTACTAAAAGCTAGTTTTAAAAACCCATTCAATTATATTAATTTATTAGAAAAACTCAACTGATGAGACTTGTTCTATAAGAGCATATGCATTCGATTATTTCGTACTAGTTATTCTGCATATTGAAGAGCCTTATGGAAAACATAAGTTATTAAATTCTGTAAAGAAAGACGGATAGTTAATGTTATAACTAAGATTCGAATAAATATTATGTTCGTGTGTGAGTTCGAGTAAATTGATTGTAAAATGAAGGAAACAGTAAATTATGTCGGTTTGGCAACAAATGTTGGTATTTACCAGAATTTCGAGTTGGCTAAATTAGATAAAAAATAGGTAAATTAAATGTTACCACTGTGAAAATTTTATAAGATGTTTAGTAAATAAATAAATAAATTTGAAAACTACTAACCAAAAATAAGAAATAAGTGCAATAAATAAATATTTACATAAGTGCAATACAAAAAATCTAGGAAATTTCAATTTACTTTACCTCAAATTACACGAACTCGCAACACGGCATATATACTTAGAGAGGTCTTTTAAGCGGACACCAATAGGATCAGTAGTTCTGCCCAGTTAAATGATCTTTCCGCTTAAAAAAATATACTTCATATGAAAAATGTGAACTGGAGACTAACACTCATTTAACACAGCTTTAACCATCAATTTACAATTTTTAGCTAAACTGTGATTGTACATTTCTTTTGTATTTTGACAATTAAATTCAAAATAAGAAAGATATTTCATTTTGTATTGAAGAGATACTACAATAAAAAACCATTAAAACAGTTCTGTCTCAAAAATTACACAAAGTTGGGTCAGTTCTATATGTTTTAGTCATATCTGGTCTGACACTATTTGCAAATATTTGTGACAGTTATAGTTATATCATCACTAGTGCAAATATTTTTTATTTATTTATTTAATTAAAATTAAAAAATATGATTTACAATAATTTAATATAAATTAGAGAGATCTCAGCTCTTAGGCTTCTTCAGCTATCAAAAGATTGTGAAAAAACCTCGTTCATATGTAGTACATTTATTAATAATTAAAATTATATATTTAGATATTATAATTATAATCAAAATATTTTTTTTATTAAGAATAATTTGAAATTTTAATGGTAATACTTCCAACTGCATTACCGACAATAACGACAATAATTTTTAAATATCCTTTAAGAGAAATTTAATTGAACGCATGCGTTCTCCGCGTGATTTATTACCATTATTCTTATTTTTTAATAAAACCCAATAATATTAAAATTTGTAATAATTTATTCTGGAAATAATGAATACGAAGAGAGGAGAACAAAAGAAATGAAAAATAAATAAAACTTAATGTATACAAATTAATTTGGGAGGATATGAATGGCACTAAGGATATTTTTAGGGATAACCGAATTCCTACGCACAAAAACGAGAGGATGGGAATAATTTAAGGAATCGAGCAGTGAAAGAATAAAACAAAAATATATTATTATTTGTAATGAATTTTAATTAAATGAAATTAATTGATTTTAAATTATTGAAATTTATAAAATTAAAATATAATTTTTAGGTTTAAAACATTTTATTTTTTATTTTAATATTTATAATACAAAAGAGTAAAAACTTAAAAGTTAACAAAGCCATGGGTCAATAATGCCATCAATTGGAGTTAAGCATGAATATTTAAGGATGCAGCATCAATGACATGTGCTACCTCTTCGTTATGGTAAACAGAACTTCCGCCAAGTTTCTCATATTGTGCTGAAAGCAAAAAAATAATAAAAAATATAAATAAATTTAAATTTTAGCTGATAAATTATTTTATTTTGTTAAATTTTTATTTTAAAAAGTAGTATTATATTACCAAAAATTTTTTGCTTGATTTGATCAGCAACAACATCGGCATTAATCAATGAAATGGCACAGATTAAAACTACGACAAGGATCTGAAATTGGAGTAAAAGGAAATCATTTATAGAAGAAAATAATTATTTATATTATTATTTCTTATATATTTAAGTCGTTATTGATTTTCAATGCTATAAATTTATTCTAAGAGTTTTGGGATGAAATTTTAATTAGTGAATGCAATAACTAAGCCATCTGAATAATATCAGATAACTGCGACAGTCTGTTATAGCGGATATAAGGATCACTAAACCCTTGATGAAGGTAATCGATTTTTATTATTTAACTATGATAAAATTGGTCTAATGAAGACAAATGATACTACGCTAAAGTTATATTCTAAGACTATTAAATAGAATAATAATATTACTATACACTTATTGCTTATAAATATTTTAAGAGGATAATAATACTATGAAGTCAATTGTAGAGTTTATATTAACATTTTTTTTGTTATCCGTAAACTAGAGTAAATAAGATGTTTTCCGCTTTATATATCCTTAAAAATATTAACAAAAAAAGGCTTCCATTATAACTATTAGGATGTTTGAACTACATTTAACCCTAATCCACTAAAAAACACTCAGCCTTTGAAAGGAAGACCAGGATGTACTTGGTTAAGGGGTTTCTAAAAATGGATATGATCTGGTCTTTTCAGCTTCGTATTATGACAAAGTTCAAATCCGGAAAGTCACAAAAGTCACAGAAAAAAATGTATAGACGTGTTATTCTATTGAAGATAGATCAGTTGCAGTCACTTTAGATACTCATTTTATTCAGATAGTAGCGGTCTTAAGGTATCTTAATCTATTAACAAATGCAGCAACTTCTATAAAATAAGCTATAAATTACTACTAACTTTATACTACTATTAATTCACTTTTACTTATAATTATATATTAAATATAATGAGTAGACACTAATAAATGTATATACAAAAAAATAAATTAATTATTTCAAATATGTATTATTGATATGGGATGTGACACCGCGACCGTCTCGTCTATTGTGCCCGACACAATACATATATTGTGAGTATTTGAATACACATTAAAAATGTTTTATAAATAAATACTTGTAAATATTTTATAAATAATATATTTAAATATCTTATAAATAATACATTTATAAAATATATAAAAAAAATTATAATTTGTAACATTTGTAAATTAATAAAAATTTTTGAAAAACTTCATAAAAATTAATTATAGAAAATATTTTTTATTTAAGTGTTATACACGATGCTTATGATTTTATTTTATAGATTACTTTTGTATAATTATTTTTAATTATA